TCCGCAGCGAAAGTTGCTAGTGGGTCTGAGCCTCAATCCCGACGGAGGCATTGGATAGCTGATGAGTCCGTAGCACTGATGGCCCAAAAACAACAAATCCCGCCCTGCCACGATCGAAACAAATTTAGGTAGCGTCTGCAAGGTCGGCTGACGAAAAGCCTCAATAAGGACCGTGAAAACTGGTGAGTAACAATAGCTAGTGAAATGGAAGTAGAAGTCGCATCAGGGAATACTCAAAGACTATTCCGCTTGACACGCAATACAGGACGTCGGCGAACTCCAGTTAGTGAAACAGTCGGCGATAAGAGTGGACAAGCTATTCACTACAGGGATCTACGACTTGATCGCTAGGCGGAACACTTCAGCGAACAGTTCAACTGGCTTGGCGCTATACAGGTCACTTCATCTGTAACTGAAGCTGCGTGGGTAGTGTCGTGCGATTCTCCAACAGAAGCAGAAGCTCGACCCTGCATTCAAGCTCTGAAGCGAGGAAAGGCAGCAGGACCAGATGAGAACCCTCCAACTCTTTTCAAGATAGGTGGTGATAATCTCGTAAGCTCAATTACTACCGTACTGAGCAACATTTGGGAACGAGAACGCATTCCTTCATCTTGGGAAGAATCACTGATCGTTCCCCTTTTCAAGAAAGGATCTCGCAACGATTGCGAAAACTACCGCGGGATAATTTTGATCCCGATTGTCACCAAAGTGCTAGCCTGGGTCATACTTCGGCGTCTGACTCCTTTAAGATAGATCAATATCCGTGAACAGCAAGCCGGATTCCGGCCTGGACGTCGATGAATTGATCAAATTTTTACGTTNTACGTTGCGGCAGGTCATACCCACCGTCGACAAACGATCGCAGCGTTTCTTGACCTGAAAGAGGCGTTCGACTCAGCTGACCACGAAGCTCTGATGGGCTCTCTTCTTCGAAAAGGAATGCCCCAGAAGTATGTTAACCTACTGAGGTCACTGTACTTACATACCTCTGGTCGAGTGAGGGTTTACAACGAACTAAGTAGGCCGTTCGTCAAGCGTGCCCTCTTTTGCCGTTCCTGTTCAACTTCGTCGTAGACGACGCACTGGAGGATGCACTTAACGGTCTCCAAAACGCAGGGGTTGAATGGACAGCTAGAGAAAAACTGTGCGATGTGGAGCACGCTGATGACATCGTCTGTCCGTTTGAATGTTTGGAAGACGCGCAAAGCGCAATGGATAGACCAACAGGTGCGGTTGCCACATTCGGTATGTGCTTCGCACCTTCAAAGTGCAAAGTGATGCTGCAGGAGTGGGTTTCGCCTAATCCCGCTCTGAAACTAAATGGTCAGGATTTAGTTGTGGTGGATTATTTTCCATACTTAGGTAGTTGCGTGACCAATGACGGAAGAGTAGTAAAGGAGATAGCCGCTCGCATTTCCAAGGCTCGAGCAGCATACGCAGGACTGAAACACCTTTCGTGTAAACGCGACGTTTCCCTAAAGTTGAAAGGTCGTGTATATTGTGTTGGTGTTCGTTCAGTCCTGCTCTATGGTTGTGAGACCTGGAATTTGCGAGTAGAAGATATCTATCGGCTAGAGGTTTTCCACTATCGGTGTTTACGTAGTTTAGCCCATGTGAGATGGAGCGAAAGGGCTAGTAACCTGGAGGTAAGCCGTCTTGTGTTTGGAAGTCCGTCAGGCATAAACCTCCTAGCACATCGAATTCAGATTAGTAGGCTTCACTGGCTAGGCCACGTATTGCGTATGCCCAGCTACCGTCTACCACATCGCGCCTTATTCGCTGTAGCCGCTCTAGGCTAGAGGAAACCACGTAAGGGCCCACAGATGACGTGGAAAAGAGCCATGAAGAAATGCACCGAGCCATTAGGTAGAGTAGGTGTCTCGCACCTTCCAGGTTGGGGTTCGAAAGACATCGCAACTGGCTGGTTGGAGACATTGAAGGATATGGCACCGAACCGACAGCATTGGCATTCTTGTTGTCATTTCTTATCGGGCCAGAATGCTTGAAACGGTATGTACGCAGAGTTCGATTGTGTACTCTGCGTGTTGATCATAGTGGCTCAGATTCTTCCCCGTCCGAAGAAATAGTTTCAATCCCTGTTTACCTTACATATTACCACTAACCTTGTATGCATTGCGAGTTTGGCAACGATCAATGAAGTTCGCCTCACTGTATTTTGCTGTATAATGATGATGATGATGATGATAGTGAAATCGCAGATAAGCACGAAACACATGCATACAACATATTCGGTATGCAACACAGAACGTAAATAAATTTGAACTGATTTTCTGTCGAAAGGAGTGTACGACAACGTGACACTCATTCATCACTGTACCGCTGGTTAATCTCAGCTACATTTTGTCTAGTTACATAAATGACTCTTGAAGATTGAACAAGCCTCGCAGAAGAATAGGACTGAGAACAGACTCAAGAACGCTTTTGTGTACTCCGCATGAAATTAACTATTTGGCACACATGCACGTACACAAACACGAGTGCTCGAGAAAATAGGTTTGCAAGAAAATACGAATACTTACTTGCGTTTCAACAATTCTTGAATCAATCGATGCAAGAAAGCATGAGTCTGGTGAGAGAACCGGGAAAATGAGAGAGAAAACACTATTTAGAATTTGTGAAAATAAAATTAAAGACAGCAACTGGCAGGTTTAAGGAGGTGCGGTTTTATGAAACACGTATTGGTTCTTCAAACGAGACGAATCAATTGTCAAGGATTGTACCGGCTACTTTGCCGAGTGCGAAAGATTAAGCATTCATTTGGATGGTGCATTGCACATACCCATATCGGGATAGCTCTATCGCCAAGCGGTTTGAAGCATGCTGAGCTGTTTGTGTATTGTCAACCAGCAGGACGATGTCATCGACGTATTCGGAGTCAAGAATTCTAGTTCACGGAAAGAATTTAAACCCAGACGGGAATATGCACCTTATGAAATACTATTTGTGGTAAATTTGAAGAGTAATGGGGATCTGTCGAACTATAACGGAAACCGCTAAAGGGGTGGCTATGGGCCGTGACCCAACCTCATGCATGACGATTGACACATTTTTCAGACACTCCATTTCGTAACAAAAATCATGCCAAGTAGCAGTTCGATCGAAAAAATCTCTGATCTTCGGAAAGCATGACGGTGCTCAAGGAACTGGCGGAGGCTGAAGATTTGATCGATGCACGTATGAGCGGTGTGAACTACAGTTTGTTCCTCGCGGATCAGCTGTACAGGTGTAGTGTAGAGTTTGCGAATGCTGATGAACTTTAACAACTTTTAAGCGGAGCGGAGCGGATCTGCTCCGTGTGTCGAACTTTGCAGCTCCATAATAAAATTGTCTAACATTTTCAGTGAGACTGAGAGGAAACCATTGGAGCATGGTGCTTTGTCAAGTCTAGGGCTTGGATTGCTGAGTCTGAAGATTAGCTTGTGGAAACCGACCACGGGACGTGTGTGAAATACCTGTGGGAGAAGTTAATGATAGCGAAAAACTATAGATAACGTGAATCAGATGGCACAGACTACAGGAATTCCCGATGGCACACAGTACATTGAGTTTACCAGATTTCGCAATCTATTCCTAGGCTTACGTCCAGCTCACGCCTCGTGACGAGTTGTGTTCACTTATACTCGTTGTCAGACTAGAGTCATCCGGAGCTTTTGGCAAAATGTCTCTCTGACTGCAGATACACTCTTTCACTGAGAGCCACACCAAAGTCAGCAAGAACAGAATCCGCAACCATCGGGTACATATATATATATATATCACTAGCTTACGAGCTTCGTGCCAACACAACAACAATAATAACATAACACCAGGGGTTGGGATACAAAGTAGTGTAAAAGGACGTCAGACAGTTAAGTTTAATAACTAGAAGAACAATTTTTTTGTTTGTTTCATCGTACACATTTTGTATTAGTTTCTCGTTTTTTTTATGGGGCACGGAATTTCGACAGGTAGACCGTACAGCACTCGCGTCGCTGACTTCTATTCTGAGCCATACCTGTAAGCGTTTCTCACCAATGACAATCCTCATCCCTTGGGCGGCAGCCTGGAGGGAGGGCTACACCAACCGAAGCCAAAGTTGAAGCCAGCTTCTTCATACCTCTACGCCATATCATGGTCTGACCGCCCCTGCGCTTCTTCCAGCCTTGTCCAGAACGTGTAAAGAGATCACGGAAAAGTAGTTGATTGGCAGACATACGCAAAACGTGAATAAGCCATTGAAGGTGGTGTAGAATGATTACTTCTGTTAGGGAGCGACTATTCACACCCAACACACGACGACGAACTTCGTAATTTCTCACTCGATATTCCCACCAGACACGAGCAATGCGTCGGAGACATCGGTGGTCGAATACAGAAAGTCCATTGGCATCTTTAACGCTTACAACGAAGAACCATAGGGTCAACCGAAAGGTGTTAGTAAGATCTCACGGATTGACTAGAGATGGGTATACTGATACGGCATTCAAACCGAACAGGTCCAAATGTTTGATAATATCGCTAGACTATTCTCTATATCGCCTTTTTGTTCTCAGTTACGAGGTGAGCGAATAATGTATACCAGGAAGAAAGGCGAGAAAAACAGAACTACAAGAAAATGTACGATCACCATGAACCCTGAGTTGCTCCCCTACCTTCTATTGTATCTTTATTCGCCATTTTGGTAAACGCTATTGTGTATCAACCGTAATCTTAATTCCTGGGTATGATTGTTTGCGAGAGGTACAACTGAAGGTCAGCTTCATTGGTTAGGACACGTATTGCACATGTTCAACCATCGTCTACCGCACTGCGCCTTATTCCTACCAAGTCAGAATGATTGAAAAGATTTGTATGCACAATTAGATTGTGCACTCGACGTGTTGACGACAGAGGTGCACTTTCTTTGTCTCCTAGGAATTGGGACCAAGCCTTCTCCATCTTGTGCTTTATCACTTGATTTGTGTATATTGTGAGCTTGGCAGCGATCAGAGAAGTCCGATTCACTATATCTTGCTATACGATGATGATTATGATTGATCATGATCATGATCATGGTCATGATGACGATGATGATGATGATGAGGGTTTGATATCCGAGTCCGGAACACATTACAGACAGCCACTTAAACCGAACTACCATGACCGACAAGTAGAAATACATCCATTCTATTATAACTGAGCTATGTTATTGTGGAGATTGAACTATTCTATATGAATACCTACTCAAAAAAGAAACAACCAAGGAAGGACTTATTCGGTGTTATTGATGTAAACTGATGAACAGCAGTCGGAGAGATGAAAAAAAAACGAAGGCATCCTTACTCACATCCAAATGATTAACTCCGTAAGGAATGATACAGAACAAATCATTGGGAAAGCGAACGTTGGCATGTTGTGACGAGAACGTCAGTCGATGATTTGACAAACTCCACGGACGATGAAAATCATTGAGCACGCCGACTAGTAGGGCATCATCGAACAGAATGGCTGCAAAATGAATAGAAAGATGACAATGGACAGAGTGAACTAGTGCAAAGAGTTATATCACAGAGAGAGAGAATGGGGATAGAAAATGTAGTTGATAATGTTACTGACATGAAGATGGTTGGTTGGTGATAGTTGTTCCAATGAACGGGACATATGTGACCAAATATTCAGTCAGGTAGTAATGAAGCGTACGAGGCTTCGACTGATCGCCCGAGATTGCCAGACAGCCGCAGTACACAGTCAATCCATAAACAAATATCAAGGTGAGGCCCAAATGTGTCTCTATTTGGCAAACATCCATAGAACCTTCTTGACACGTGCTGACATTTCATCCCATATTAGCCTGTCACGCAAGAAATAGCCAAGCAATTAAACAAAATTTTCGAACATTCTCGGCTGACTTCTTTGTTCTAGTGAAAATGGGACCGCGACTGGACCAATCCCGTGAAAGCAGCATATGCAGGACTTGAACACCGGTGACGCCGACGTGACGTTTCACTGAAGTTGAAAAGTCGCCAATACTGCGCCAATGTGCGATCAGTTCTGCTTTACGGTTGTGAGACCTTGAGTTTGCGGGTAGAAGATATCCGTCGCCTAGTGGTTCTCGACAGTTGATGCTTACTTAATGTGACACAAGTGGGATGCAGTGAGCAGGTTAGTATTACAGAAGTAAGTCGTCAGGTGTTCGAAAATACATCGAACACGAACTCGCTATAGCATCGAATCCAGCTCAATAGGCTCCGTTGGTTAGGACTCGGTGCATTCGTGTTCGATGTTCGCCTACCGCAGTGGTTGTTG